GCTTGTACCCGGGTTCGAACTTTTTCAGTGATGGTCCACGATTCATGACCGTAGGTAAGTATGGGGATAACAATCGACTTGAAACCAAGAGCTTAGTCTTCAGACTGTGCAGAAAGCCACTTGCAATTCAAATAAGACGAGCCCTCTCTTCTACCCATTCTCTATCACCAGTAAACACGATTCCGAAGAACTTGGCCTTCCTCACTTGCTCCACCGCTTTTCCTTTAATTTCAAAAGAGCAACAAGGAAAAAATCCAGAAACCACAAGACTAAGTTTTAGATGCGTTTTCGCATACATGCCGGCCACGTCGCACTCCGCTGTGAACCTTTCCGGAGAGCACTGCATTGCGGTTTTAGAAGATGCCAATAAAACGAGGTCATATGCTAACAGCAACCTTCTCGTCCCTACATCTCCTGCACCGATAAACTCTTCGTTTTGGCTGCATCTGACCATTCTATCCGTGCACAACACAAACAGGAGAGCGGACAGGACGCAGCCTTGGCGGAGACCAGTGTCAACGTTGAAAGCTTTTGACTTAACGCCATTTAATCTGATGCAACAGCTGCTTTCAGCATATAGTGATTTTGGCTCGTCGCAACTGTCCATCGATTCCGTATGTTCGCAGACATGCCCACAGACAGTTGCGCGAGATCTGACCACAGGTTTACTCTAGATCAACAAAGCACATGCTACTGGATGGCTGAACTCCCACGATTTCTCAAGAATCTCGCGTAAGGCTAATATATGGTCACAGGAGCTTCGACCGGGCCGGAAACCACACTGCTCATCTTGTATCTTGGAGTCAGTTATTCCGCGACACCTCTTTTCTAGCACCTCACCTTTTCATAGACTTTACCCGCTAGGCTCAATAAGGTAATGTCCCGATAATCAGAGCATTATCTGTGGTCTCCTTTCTTAAACAGAAGTGAAACAACCCGCTCTCCAGTCCCTTGGTATCTTCACCGTAGCCATTGCCAGCAGATGCCTTGTTCGCTTAATGTTTAGAGCATTTCAGGGCAGATTCCAGCAACCTTTCCACTTTTCAAGCTTTTCATGGCTTGTATGATTTCGTCTACAGATATACTAATATAGACTGCCTGTCACAGTTCAAGCGAGTCTTCTTGCAGTTCCTGTGAGTTAACGAGTTCTTTAGAATGCTCCTTACATCGCCAAAGAATGGCTTCATTCCCGGTAAGAGAGTAACTACACCTGTTCTT